CATTGTACAGTGGCGTTGAGTGCCATATGTGCACCGCTGCCTCCCCTTTGGGGATAAAAGGTGTGAAGTTATGTATGTATGTATTTTATTATACTTCTAGTATACTTTTACAGAATAGATAATTTACCTAAAATACTGTGTATTCCCTGGAGTATCATTCATTCTTCAACTTCTTAACTGTATATGAGATGCTACAGAAAAAAGTAAAAATGCATCTTGCTTATCTATTTTGAAACCTATCTATTGCTTATCTATTTCCAAACATAGAATTAAATTTCTTAAGTAAACAATTTTAGACAATGTTAATTCAACTTTAGTTTAAGGAATAATTTTGTAGAAATTGCAAAATAGTAGTTTTCTTAGGTACATTAAAAAACATTGGTGATAATTTTTTGTAATAATTTTGTTTCAGATTGTGAGCTCCTTTATGCTGTCAATATCTGCAGTTGTTATGTCATATCTACAAAATCCTGCTCCAATGTCACCCCCATGGGCCGCTCTTACAACATAGTAAATGTGTTATTTCCTCAAATCATTATATTTATTAAAAATATTACATGTTACATTTCTTTTCATTTGTTTGTTTTATTTCAAGGGTATAAGAATAATAGATAATTTTATTTTAGTATATTATGTAGTTATCAGAATTATTCAATATTAATAGTTTGATCCTTATCCAAAAACATCTTATTGATGAAATAGCCGGCTGTTAAGTACCTCAATCATAATCTGAAGGACTGGCAGCATGATACGACCAGTGAGAGATCAGGCAGGTGCAAGACCAACATGCCTCTAACCTCTGGGCTAGTAATAATATTATTTCCGATCACAACATAAAAGAGATAGAAATAGATTACAAAGTACAAATAAATCAATTGCACCCACTGTTCCCTTACTCAGAATCTGATGGAATAGCAGAATGATACGACCATACAGTGAAAAATCAGGTGCAAGACTGACTGTTTTCAGTACCAGTTTCTGTACCTTGGTACTGAGATGATTAACAACTCTGGTGTAATAATAAATAGCCATTTATTTCCGAAAAAACTTATAGCAATTTGTGCCCGCTGAGAGAAATGGAACACACGACAAGTGGCCCTACAGTTAGGCACCTAATCACTGCACTACCCGTGCTGATAACTATCCTATAACTTAGATGATAATTTTGTAAATAATAAATTATTACCCTTTAGGACAATAAAATATTAATACTTTGCACAATTAAATTCAAAATCAATCGTCATCAAAATAGACAATAGTCGTACTAAAACAACCGTATTTGTCTATGGGTTGCAGTAAGTCAAGTAAACGTCAAATGTCAAAAATAACTTGCCGGAGGAAAGAAATTCTTTCTCGCAAGTTACACGCTAACGTGTTTCTATGAATTTCTGTAACTAAAACTATTTAAGTGAAATTAGATACAAACGTAGATCTGGTTTTGTGGCATTCGCCGTGTTATCTCACCAACACCAGGATTTACAAAAATCAGGTATTTCAAAAATATATTATTTCCATTAGGTTATCTTGTTTCTAACCACAACAGATGTTAAATTATAATAAATCTGAATGCATGTGTCAATTACATAAATAGTATAATTTTGTTCTATCAGTCAGGAACTCGCATTAGGGTAGGCATCACAACACATTGGGTTTTAGCAATCTTAGTATTAAATATAATGATTATTTTTAAAGCGGTTCATATTCTACCAATGATTGCTTTTGTGTACAGGAGACTGCCTATTACCACCCCCTATTACCCACCCATATTCAACATACACACAGACCCATTGTTGGTTTTCAGTATTATGAAAAATATAATTTATTACTTTGTCATTGCAACATTTATAATACAGTGATGAAAAAGTATCTATGACTTAAACTTATTATAAAAAGAGAATAATTTTCTTATTACTCATATTTGTCTACAGGAGATTGCCTTTTAAAAAAGAAATGTGCCCCATAGGGACTCATAGTTTTTTCTTTCAGTAAATTGGAAAAGTATAAAGTATGATTGGTATTGCACCATTTCTTGCATATAGTGATGAAAATATATCAGTGATGTGACCTAAACTTGAAAAAACTGACTAAAACCCCCTCTTTTTTAAAGTTGGTTAAATAATATACATAAACCTTTTTCAAAAAACACTTTTCTCTAAATCACATCCTAATCCGTTTAGTCAATCGTGAGGTAATCGAGCACAATCATCCATACATACATACAGGTCATATTGATAACTTCTTCTTTTTTGAAGTTAAGTAGTTAAAAAGAATAATTTTCTTAATATTTCGATTGCAATTAAATGATAATTATATTATAATATTTTCAGAATGCCTCCAAAAAAAGTTGAGGAACCAGAAAAAAAGCCATTAATCGGAAGAGTTGGTACCAACTTAAAAGTTGGGATTGTTGGTGTGCCCAATGTCGGAAAGTCAACATTCTTCAATGTCCTCACCAAAAGTCAAGCAGCAGCTGAGAACTTCCCGTTCTGCACCATTGATCCTAATGAAAATAAGTATCTGACTGAATATTATTTATTTAATAACAAAATATAGTAATAGATTCGTCTGGTTAACACGTTAAATAACATGGAGTCAAAGCGGTCAAAGCCGATTCGACTTTCATTCTAAAAAACAACTGATGACTGGGAATACGATTTAACATGTTTTAAATTAAAATGAATATGATTTTAAAACGAATTCAAAAAACTTTCAACAATTATGATGTAAATATTTTGATTTTATTTTATTTATTTCAAAAACAATTTACATTGTGTGTGAATTAAAGCTTAAAACTAATAACACAAGTAGAACAAAAAGAAAAAAACAACACATTTCTTAAATCGAATTACAATTAAAATTGTTGCTAAGATACTGATCTCATAACAACAAAATTTATGTGACACAACTACTATAATTGAAAATACTATTTAAATGCACACTTAAACTTTTTTTAATGTTTCGGCTAAAAAATGTACATAGTGGTAAATAACGACTAAATCTGACTAATCTGTAGAAATTGCCCACATAATTAACACCTTGAACGCCATGGGGGACAAGGTATGGGCCACGCTAGTGGAGGATTTGCCCTCATCAGTTTTCTGTCGGCAGTCAAAGCCTTAATATTAGAGCCGGTGGCATTGTCTTTATAAATACCAATAGAATAATTTTTAATAATAATTCAAGTACCTATAAATAATAACAAATAACAACTTTGGTAATAAAATAAAGTTTCAGTAACATGTGAAATTGTTCCCAAAGAAGACATGTATGATTCTTACCAGTCTTTTTGTTAGAAATACTAATTTACAATACTGGTGTTGAGAGATTGTTATTAATCAATCCAACTTACAAGTTATTTATGGTTAAAGTTTAAGCCACTAATACGATCTTTTAATTGACATATTATACAAGGATATGTGTTCTAAACTCAATAAACAACCAAAACAAACCTCAACTTTCTCAGCCTCATATTCAAACAATTTGAAAAAAGGAAAACAATCAACTTTTATGAAACTCTGACATGCGACACATGTCAATTTATAACTTTCCTTTTGCATTGTATCCTAAAAAAAAATTTGATTACCTATTTTTATTTACTATAATGATTGAACTTGAGCACTATAAACATAATCTTGATATCATAGATACTTACAATGTGAAAAACTTTAAAATCAGTAAAGGTATAGTATATACTGGAGATACTGAATATATAAATCCAAAAACAGAAGTAAAGAAACATGTGTCTCCACTGTTGGGTGCTGCAATGTACGGCCTAAATAATACGGCGGCTCCGTTGCCTGAAGACACAAAATTTTTTGATATCTGGTCGGATATTGATGCTCAAGAAATACATTTGAGCAAGAAGCCTACCTGTTACATAATATTTGGAAAGTCAGGATCTGGAGCATATAATTTAGGAGAAGCAATGGCTAAAAAGTTGAATGTACTGCACTTGTGCCCAAAAAATTTACTAGAGGATGAATTAGCTCAAGAGAGTAGCACAGGAAAAGCTTGGCATTTTAATATGCGAAACAATAAAGTTTGTCAATTTAATATGATACTGACTATGTTGAAAATTAAAATGCTTTCTGAAGTAGTTCAACATCGAGGTTATGTAATATCAGGACTGCCTCTAGTAACCTGCCGTAGAAATCCTCTTTATTGTATAGATTCATTATATAGTGAAGAAGCATTTTTACAAATAGATGAAATATTGTTCGATACAATTCGTAATTTAAACAAAAATAAATCCAAGGCAAGACATCCGAAATCGTCACCGTCTTCTAAAAGTAGTGAGTTCATAACAGGAGAAGATCAGGAAGACTATGAAGGACAAGAAGAGGAAGAGCATTTGGAAGATCTTCACGCTGAAGAAGCCCTTGAAGAAGAAGACAAACCCGTCGAACTGCCGATATTTGAGCTAAACACTTGTTCCAATATTATTTTTCATGAAAAACCATATATTAAATCAAAACAAGCTGTTATTTTCCAGCAGCTTCAGGAATTATTTAATTTACCGCTCAAACCTGATATTCTTCTACAAATTAACTGCCCTGAAATGGATTTAGTGAAAATGAGATCTTATAGATACCTTAACTACAAAACGGGTCAAAATGCCATCGAACCCTTTGTTTCGAATTACGTCCAAGAACAAACTTGGCCTGATGAATATACCATGCATGACTATGAAATTCCTCATGAGAATTATATGTTTCATCCTAAATACAATTGCAAACCACCAGCGAATTTCGAAAAGAAAGTTATTGAACAAGTTTGTAGTTACAGAACTTATGTGTTTCCGTATTTGGAAAAGAAATTTAAAGAATTTGACCCCAAAATGATAATTCAATTAGACGGCCGTATGCCGTGTGGTAAAATGCTTCACAATATAATGGAGAGATTAATTTTATTGCCTACTCAACCAGTGATTACGCCGACTCCTTTCTCCGATGCGGCACCAGAAGATATGGAAGACTTTTGGGCGTCTATAGAAGAATCAAACGTTATTCGTAGCGACATTGTTAACTTCAAGTACTCTCCTTCTCCCTGGTTCAATAGATGTCCTGTAGAATTAAAACTGAGACGAACAGTGCCAGGGTTAACAAAATATGCGGTTTACTACCTAAAACATGTGTACCTACTATCTTCACGTAATAATTTTATTTCGTTTATCAGGAACCCACGCCCTTATTTAAAAATAAAGTATTTAGAACCAACTTGCAGAATAATAATTCTAGGAACAAAAAGTTCTGGAAAAACCATGGTCGCTAATTGTTTATCGTGGCTTTTTGATGCTCCTATTCTTGATTTCCAAACGATTTTAAATAAAGAAAAAGATAAAATATATATAACGGTGGCTCAACCTATCCTATCGGAAATTATAACAACTATTGAAGACGCTCGTTTACTAAAATGGCAAGCTGATGAGTCAGAACGATTAGAACAATTTAATAATTGGTGTGAGTACACGTCACAGTTATTAGAACAATATTTGCCTCTACTTGTCAAAAAAACAAAATACGAAAAAATTAAAGCCTACAGACTTGCCAAAAAAGAAAAAGAATTGAAAGAATACTATGAACTAAGCGAAGAACTGAAAGAAGAAATTGAGCAAGAAGAAGAAGAAGAAGTAGTAAGTGATGTAGAATATATGGATGAAGAAATGAATTTGGATTTCTTCGAAGAATTTGACGATCTTAGAACACAGCTTAGTTTTTTACCTATATTAGATAGTGTACTCGAATGCGAGAGTACTCTTGACGGGCAAAATATTTCACAATATGCACCTACAGAACTGAATACAGAAACAAAAAAACCTTCAATTCCTGTACTTGGTGATGAAGATGTAACTACAGCTATATCAAATTATATTGCTGCAAATGAACTAGAAAGCAGTCTCGAACCAACAGCTGAACAAGTAATAAATGAAATAAACAAGCTCCTTACTGAAATAGATAACCAGTGTGCAGAAAAAACACAGTCGGAAGAACTTTATGGGAAGTATATTCTAGATGGTTTTTCACCTGATCCAGAATATTGGTCATACCTTAATGATAAAGTATTCCCAGATTATACGATAACTTTGATTGAAAATAGGGAAATTGACGAAAAATTATGTGAATATTACAGCCAAAGTGACAGCCACAATAAACATTATAACGCAACCATCTTTTCTGCTAAAGATCCACTTCTTCAAACAAAGCAGCGAGCTATTAATATATCACGATTGGAACAGGCTGACATTAAAATAATTTTGTATAATTTGGTAGATGACGTTGTAGGAGCTGAAATAATGCCTCACATTGAAATAGAATCAGAAAGTGATTTTATTGCATCTTTTACCGAAGCTATAGAAAAATTTAGAGAAAACTGGGACAGCGCTAAAGTAAATATAGAAGACAGGTCAAAAGTATATATTGAAATAGAGCTTAATAATAAAACTGATGTAGAAATTATCGAAGAAACTTTAATGAAGCTACGTCAGTGTTATCGTCCAACAGTTCAGACACAAGAAGACCAAGAAGTTGATGAACCCACGGATGAAGATGAAATTGATGTCCCTCCAAAAGATCTTCTTACTTATAATGACAGCCAATTTTTGTGTGAAACCAATATATACTGCCCAGTAGCTTATTTTAAGTATGGTATACTATGGGAAGGGAAGCCCGAATTTTCTTTGAAGTATGACAACAAAATGCATTATTTTTGTAAAGAGGAATTTTTAGAAATATTTAGTAAAGATGTCACAGAATATCAATACTACAATAACCCGTTTAAAAAAATACCTAAGTTAAAAATTTGTGTTACAGGTCCCGTAGGTTGTGGGACAACATCTGTATCGCGGTTTATAGCAAAAGAGCTAGGTTTGTTACATATTGATTATGTACACTTCCTTACTGAATATTTAATGCCAAAACATTTCAAAAAGGTTGGATTTAAAAACGAAAACATGTTCACTGACGAAGTTATTGATGATGAAGGAGTAGTAGAATTTCAAGTGGACGAGGAAGGAGAGAATCAGTCCACTGATGTCTTGTGGAACGAAAAAGAAATGTTACGAATGTTAAATAATCACTTCGAACGCGGTGGTTCTATTTTACCCATACTTATGCAAAAAATGATTCAAAAAATATGGCATGATCCTAGTATGAATATGGGCTTTGTTCTTGATGGTTACCCTAAGTTAGCCAATGATATTGAAGACATGATGACTCATTATGGAATACCTGACATGGTTATAGACTTACAATCTAGTGTAGAAGTCTCATTTGATCGACTTGGTCCAGGAATGTTTAAAAAATGGAAAGAACAACAAAATGAAGCTAAAAAGAAAGCTGCAGTTAAATTGGACAACGAACGAAAACAATGGATGCACAATATAACAAAAGAAATTGTAGTAAAACTACTAATCGAAGAAATTTTCGACACTATGTTTGCCTTCAAAAGTGAACAGGGTTTAAATGTCCATAGTGCGATAATGGATGCCGACCCTTCGGGTGATATAAACATTGATCCTTTGCTATTTAAATTATATAATGAAATGGTGCAAGAGAATCCAGAGCCTAGCGATACGAACGTGTGGGAAAGTAATGCTGCAGCTCGTGAAAGAATGCAAGCCAGGTTGGAAGGAATATATGAAACAGAGGATGAAAATTTGCAGTCTTTAAAACAAGCTTTATTGGAACATAAAATTAAGACGGTTACAATTGACGCGACAAAACCGTTACAAAAAGTCATTAGAAACGCATTGACTTCGCTAACACACCTTCGAAATAGAAACGAATCATTTTTTGAACAAACATTTATAGTTTCTCTCGATGTTGCTGAAATGTTACTTTTAAGGGGATTTTACTTTTTGAGCAAATTCAACCGACTTTGCCCCGTTTATATTTTTGAGAATCCGCGGGCAGTTCAAAACTCATATAAAATCAGTAAAGTCCGGGGAACTCTTTATGCCGTTATTCATAGAACTTATATATATTATTTAAGTAACGCAGATAGCGTAATCAAGTTTAGAAATAATCCACTAAAATACATAATTGCTGATGCAGTCAATTCCTACTTCGAATATCCCCTGAGGATTGGTATCATAGGAACACCTAAATCAGGAAAAAGCACATTAGCTGCTCGACTGTCTAAAGAATTTGGTCTGATATGCTTATCAAGAGGAAACTCTGTGAGAAGTGTATTGGAACATATGCATTGGACGGAACTGGCTTGCCAAATGAGGAAGGCTCTTTCAAAAGGCAAGGAAATTGATGATAACCAAATTGTACAATCTGTACAAGCACTGGCTATTGATCACCGAACGGAGACTTACGGCTACGTGACGGATGGTGTCCCTGCCAATCCTTACCGAGCTCAAGGCTATGTCAAAAATGGACTTTATCCTAATATCATTTTCGATATTTGTTCTTCTAAAGAAAAATGTTTACAGAATTCACAAAACGAAATATATAATGATATTCTGAAACACATGCCACCTTACCCCTGTCCACTTATTGAAATGAGATACGACAGTTGGTCACTAAGACAACACAGAATTCGGGATTGGATCGCAGAGGACTATCAAAACCTATATGTTCTTAATGGCACTAATAGCAAGTGGCACGTTTTCAAGCAAGCAATTAATCACCTAACACAGTTAAATAATAAGATTCATTATTACGTACTTAATGTTGATAAGACCATTGTGCACGCTATTTGCATTTCGAATGCGGCTTTCGAAGAACGACAATCCCAGTATAAAACATTATGTCCAGTTTGTTTTCATAAAAAAATATACAAGCACATGGGAAACTTTTTCGGCGGGAAAACGGGTGTTGTTCAATACAAGAATAAATTTTATTGGGTTTGCTCTGAACATATGGAATTAGTAATGTCGTTCCCACATTGTTATTTGACAGATATTGAAATAGAAATTCCTGAATTACCAGCTGTAATCGATATAGTCAATATAGATTATATTTATGAAAATGGAGTTTGCGTTGTAACATACGCTGAAAATTTACCTGCACAAATAATAAATATTGGCACAAACGAATTTGCTGCAAGTTACGCTGGAAAAATGTACTTATTCTGTAGTAGGTCATGCCTGAGTAAATTTTTGTGTAAACCATACTTGTATAACGATATTACTATTTTTAAAGAAGCAAGGAAATTTCCAAAACTTACTTTAAAGCAGCTGCCTAATATTGGCTACTTGGAGCAAACATTGGGTAATATGCTCACAGAAGCGTGTTGTTCTGTAAATGTAGTCAGACCTAAGTATCCAGGTCTTAGTTTCCAAACGTCTGCGTTGATTTATATTGCATTGTTCCTGAAGACGCACAACCATCTCACATCTAAAAACATCAAAGAAATGTATATTAAATGTTTAAAAATATTTGAAGCCAGATGTAAATTGATGTTAAGTGTAGGACTGCGCTTAAGATCAATGGATAATCCGTTTGCGACCTACCCTAAATGTCACCATAGAGAACCGACCCTTCATCCGCCCCAACAAAGTGACCCGTACTTATCTTCATCGCTTATACAGACACCTTCACTTTTGCTTCAAAGAACGTCAAATTATGTTCAAATTCACAAGCCTTCGTTCCTTACTGCGCAAAAGGTACGTTCGGGGATAAGTAGTCAAATGGAAAGAGACTAAATAAACTAAGCAAAACATGTGTAATATTAAATACACATATAATTGGGTAGTTTCCAGGGTTACAAATTAAAAATCTAATTAGTCCGTCAGTTAGATAATTAAAAATATTAGACACGTATTTTTTTATTTTTAAGTTCTCGTATTAAGTTGCAATAGTTAGATAGAATGGCGCTAAGTTTAGGAGTTGGAGGTCGTTACGTCATAACGTGCTACAAAATGTGGCACGCTGTGACGTCACACGATACTTCAAATTAATATATCGTCGAAAGTATTTAATTTTGTGGGAAAAGAAAAAATACGTGTCTAAAGTTTTAAAATAAAATTTAAGAAACTACCGTATTTTAGTCTATTGCGTGTGCGCATAGTACCTAAACATAATTATTATTATTTATTTATTTGTTACTAGCTTCTGCCCGCGACTTCGTACTCGCAATCCCGTTTTCTTCCGTTGCCGTAGGATTTTCAGGATTTTTTTCTGACATAAGAACCTTCTCCTGACAATAACTAACACAACAAAAAAAACAGCCAAATCGGTCTAGCCGTTCTCAAGTTATGGCGTGACAACGGGAACGGGTTACATTTAGATTATATATAAATTATCCCGTCGCTTGTCTAAAGGTGGAACAACGCGAGACAATATATTTTCTGTTGTGTATCATATACCGGTATTCAAGCTGTTAATCTGATATTTATTTTTTAAACTCAAATACCTAAAGCTTAATGGGCAAGGTTTTCATGTGATATATTACAAGTTAATAACTTTATAATTATGTATTAGGTAATTTTATTTTCGAAAATATTCTGAGACTTACTGTGTTTTAGTTTGAATGTTTAAGTTTAAGTAGAAAGTAGAAGTTTAAGTTTTTCGTTATTTATAGAAACGTTCTGCTGAAACTTTGGTTTATTATTATTTCATTTTGAATTTTACTCCATTTGAAATAGCATAAGAAATGGCTACAAACCCTTTTTGCAATACTATTAAAAAAATACAGCCAATTGATTTTCGCCTCTATTACATGACATTATAAATGTGTGTTGCTAATATTTATGCTACTCAATAGAAAACCTTAAAACCCATGCAATGAATACCAAAATCCATTGCTAGGTCTAATGTTATTTTAAGGGGGTTATATTTTAGTTGTATTTTAATTACTTGGTATGTTGTGATTAGAAAGACGCCTGTATTAATAAGATTTAAAAAGACGTCTAACCTGTCTTGGTTTAATAATAATTATATCCTCTAGATTAATAAATACTGTCTAAAAAGTTAGTTTTTCATTTATGTCCCTATCAAGAACTATTTTAAGGTTAGCATCGTATTAATTTCATTAAAATAAAATGATACAAATGTTTTATATTTCATACAGATGTATAATGGTGTTTTTCTTTCCAGCACGTAGGGTACCAGTGCCAGACGAGCGTTTCGACTACCTCTGTGAGTTCCACAAACCAGCCAGGTGAGGAAATATTTTCGAACATATACAATGTAAAAAAACATAAATCTCAGACTTAATGTCTAAGAATTTAAGAACCGTCCAATAATACTTTCCACTTTCCCCTTACCACAACATATTATACATGTTGTACTACAAATACAACAATATTTACCCTTCTACCGATGAAGAATACAAGGTGTAGTTTTGAAATCGTGTCATTTCTCGGGGGCATGTCACAAAAGTCATAAAAGTTCAATGTAAGAGAAAATTTCGGGCCAATAGTTAAAAATACGGCTATAATAAATCGTTTAAGTTCGACAGTATTTCAGAATAAGCGACAGCAATGTTTCTTATTGGAGTTTTATTGAATTAGGAATATATCAATTACGTGTTTGAGTTTGTGTGTGTTAAGCCGCGCTATAAAGCTAGTTACGAGACGACGGCGTGTATTTTGCAATTTTTTTTTTTTTAAGGGGGGAAAATCATCGAATGACTGCTCCCGCCTGGGTGAGGTAGAAGGGAGTGTCAGACTCTTACTGACTAAAAACCACCCCGTTCCTTCTCCTGCACGTCGAGCCGGAGCCCCGGTTACCCGTTAGGTTCTCCGCGACTCCGAATCGGCATCGGCCCTATTGGGCCCCATCTGTGGTGGTCTGATGGCTCTTTGAGGCGCGCGCGGAACGCGACGCGCCGTACGCTCGGGTCTGTTTCTGGTCGGACGGGGAGCCACCCATGCTCGCCGTCCGCAGGCCCGCGCTTACGGTGGCCGGAGATCGTCCCGCGATCCCCGACGCCCGGTGTGTCCTTCGCGATGGCTGGGTTGCGAGGAGGCAGCGCTTCGCTGCCTCACGCGTCCCGCCTCCTCCTTAGCTAGCATGACTGCTTCGCAAAAGGAGGAGACGGCATCCCAATCCCCCTCGCTCCGCATCATGGCCTGCACTAGGCCCGGACGCGAGAGGTCGCCATCGCCGATCACTTCCCTGAGGACACGGCGGTGCTCAGCCCACGAAGGGCATTCTCCCACCGTGTGTTCCACCGTGTCCTCAGGGCGGTCCTCGCAGTGATGACACCCGGGCGTTTCCTCCCGCCCCATCAGACACAGGTACCTCCCGAAACTTCCATGTCCGGTGAGGACCTGCGTCAGGCGGTAGGTGAGGACGCCGTAGCGTCTCTCAAGCCACTCCTCAAAGAGGGGACTTACCGCTGCGATGGCAGCGAGCCCAGCCCTCGGTTGCGACAGTCGTTGCTGCCATTCCGCCATGAGATCGCGCCGGAGCTCATCCCGCCACGCACTTATCTGGCGCGGCAGCGGAGTTTCGCCCCGGCGACGTGCCTCCGCGCGCATGTTATACACGCGCGCGAGCACCTTCGCCTCCAGATCCCACGGCGGTAATCCGGCAAGGAGGTTCGCCGACTCCCCAGAGATCGTGCGGTATCCGCGGATCATTCGGATCGCCATGACCCTCTGTGACATGAGCAGCGTCCGAGCAGGACGCCGCAACAAGTTCGGCGCCCAAGCAGGGGCGCCGTAGAGGGCCATGGACCGCACGACCCCGTACTTTGCAATTACGGTTTCCGTAATTTCAGAAAAATGAAAAATATTTATCTACAATTTTTTTATTGAACTCAGAATCAATATCCGAGTTACCTCCTAGAAAATGACGTGGCTTTAAAACAACACCTTGTATAACCGAGATATATTTTTTTTCTTTTTTATTTCCAGCAAAGTGCCAGCATTTTTAAACGTAGTGGACATCGCTGGTCTCGTCCGTGGAGCAGCAGAAGGTCAAGGTCTTGGAAACGCTTTCTTATCACACATTAAAGCCTGTGATGCCATCTTCAATCTGTGCCGTAAGTATATTGTCTTAAGATTTATTATTCTTCTGATACTTGCTGCTTAAGCAGTCATAAGTCCCTTCATTAATCCTATATGTCAAACACCGCGAGGATACCGGTGACCGCAACCTATTATTCTTTAATTGTGTCTATAATGACGGTACTCAAAGGGTTAAACTGTCAAACACCAAGCGGTCACCGGTGACCGCAACCTATTGTTCTATAATTGTGTCTACAAAACCGGTACTCGACGAGTTAAATTTGCCTTACCGATATGTTTTTTTATAAAATAATTCTAATTTAAACCTTACCTAAAAAGTAATAGAAATATTTTTTAGGTGCCTTCGACGATGAGGACGTTATCCATGTGGACGGTGAAGTAAATCCAGTCAGAGATTTGGAAACTATTGGAGAGGAACTTCGGTTGAAGGATGAAGAGCAACTAATGCAGAACTTTGAAAAACTTGATAGAGTCGTCAATCGAGGCGGGGATAAGAAACTGAAACCTGAATATGTAAGTCTTTTATGAATATGGGAGACCCCAAAAGGCCGGCAACGTACTTGTGACTCTGGTGTACCATAAGACATTTACTGCTGAGTATAAGACACGTCCAATTGCTTCCAGATGACCCGGTCGATCCTACCACTTTAAGTATAAAGTAGTAACTTAGTTCACGGACATTTTTTAAGATTTGTGTGATCCTAAAAAAATCGAATCTGAAGTTTACTGTTATTTCATACTTAAGGAGGAAATAAATAAAAGATAAATTATATTACCTACTTATACCATTTCAACAGATCTGTTTTGATTTCGTGTGGAAATAAACATCGAAATTGAAGTAAAGTACTATTAAAAACATTTTACTAATGATGTCGCTTTACTATGTTCCAGGACGCGCTGACGAGAATCAAAGCTATACTAGTTGATGAAAAGAAACACATTCGTTTCGGAGACTGGAGTGCAGCTGATGTAAGTATTTTTATTTAATTTTGTACCTCATTTACGCAGCAAAGAGGACGCAATATATCTATTATATTGCATCTCTTCTTTCGCGTGTCTTTCATTCTTTCAGTCAAATATAGACTTTACGCGTTAGCTTATAAGTTTGATTTCATGTATTTTGGTATGTTTTTCACAGTAATAATTATTATTACAGATAGAAGTACTCAACAAATACCTCTTCCTGACATCGAAGCCAGCTCTCTACCTCGTCAATTTGTCAGAGAAAGATTACATCCGAAAGAAGAACAAATGGTTTGTTAAAATTGCCTTTAGAAAGTAAAATCTCTAACCGGAATCATTTGAACCTTATTACCATAGACAAAAAAGCTAGTTTTGTGTTGAATGATTTAACACTTTCCTGTACAAACAAAAATAAACTTTATCTGTTAATAATCACAGTAGATTTTTTATTTTGAATAACAAAAATGTAATTAAGATTGTTTCACATTTAATTGAGCTTCCATGTATGTAAGTAATTACAATGCCCAAAATTATATAATACGCAAATGTTTGGTTAATGAAAGCATTTTCTTCTTTTAGGTTGCCCAAATTAAAAGAATGGATCGACAAAAATGACCCTGGTGCGCCGCTTATACCCTTCTCCGGAACATTGGAGATGAAACTGCTCGAAATGGAGCCAGCAGAGCGACAAGCTTTCTTGAAAGAAAACAACCTTACAAGGTAAACATCATATTACAGTCCACTGGTTTGATTGCACGGTTGGCGTGTTGGCTGGGCAACCGCCTGCCGCGGAACGTCTTCGATTCCCGCACGGAGCAACTGTTTGTGTGATCCACAAATTGTTGTC